ACCGCAGTCTGCGAACGCCGAGATGCTTGGTTCCGGCAGCGGCGATGTTGACACAGGATATCGACCACGCTGTCAACAATCTCCACAGCAGGCCTATGCAAAGTGAGAGGCCTTGCGACAATATTTCATCCTCCTAGATCCCCGCAGCGAGTTTCAGATCAATCACGGCCCGTGGCGCATCGGGAAAGCCGCGTTAATCCGCGCTCGAAATACTCCTTGTGGATTGTTTGTTACACCAGATCCGGCGACAGCGCGACAGCGGCGCGGATAACATGGCAAACCGCATCAAGCGCCTTGAAACCTGAGATCGGGGCGTTCTAGATGTGGCCCAGTGGAGTCCCATAAGGCCAGAAGACGCGTAATTGCTTTTGAGATGCTGCGAGGCGAGGTATCGTGGTGGCATGGTCTAGGGCTGGAGGGCGATTGGTGTAGCCACATCGTTCTTGTGTGACTCTTGAGATTAGTCGTCGAGATGGTGGTGTTCGAGGTAAGAAGAACAAACAAGTAGGCTAGATGTCCTTGATTAGTTTATCGAATCGCGATGCCGCGAGTGCTTCCCCGTGAGCGTAGACTACCCCGGCAGAAGGAACGTGCCAATTAGTATACTCGTAGCGTTCATGCAAGATCGTATGTATAGCAAGCGATGTGTTTGTTCCCCGGAGGTGGTGTGTAGAAAGCCGTTTGTTGGTGAATGTTGGGCAAGGGGCTCCTTGCGATATATTTGGGACCCATGCAGTTAGCCCCCGATGCCCTGGCTGCCGGGTTCGCTCCTGCATGTGAGGAGAAGCGACCCAACGATGACACGGGTGTCACCAACGTCAATATGGATGGTCGTGTTGCGCAATGGAGGACGAAGGCAGACGACATATGCAGGCGAAACAGCGCTGCAGGCAGTGGAAGGCTGACGGCATTCCAAGGACTCCACTTGGTGCTATCAGAACTTCATTAACGCGACTAGGCGAGTCTCCGTCAACCGTCGCATGGACTAGCTCCACCTTTATTTCCAACACGAGCGACCCATTCCGAAGATTGACAAGATTCCATTTGCAATCGACGAGGTGCGCCCGTGGTGTGCGTCTCGTCAGCTACGATAACAGAGATTCGGTCCTAGATACCCGTGGACAAGAGGCGACTTCCACAGGGCGTGGCTGCGGGCGCCGGCCGGCGACCTCCGAATAGCGCGTCCGCCCTGATACGCCAGGGCTGGCGTGGCTTCGAGGGGGAAAAGCATGTGTATGCGCCAAGATGAGGTGTCGCGAAAGGCGAGCTGCCGTGCCCGGGACTTCACTCTACGTTCCCCAGGCTTAGGCTGAGGGAAGCGGCCGGTCACCTTCACGCGCAGCACGCCGAGACAGCCTAGCTTGCCGCGAAGTGGAATCGCATGGGCCGCGCGACTAGTCCAACTAAAGCAGGGCTTGATCGGCCTGATATGGGTCATTGGTTCTTCGCGGGAGGTCGAACGCGACAGGGTTGGTCGTCGCCGCTGGTCCTTATCTTTTTGGTGCGGGATACACTTTCATTCACATCCGCCGTCCAGGCCCTGTGCTACGAACGCACCCTGACTTAAAAGACTCGCTTCGCCTTCACTGGTAAATCGAGCAGAGCTTGACGTCGATCCTCTCGCCGGTCTACTCCGCATCAACTGTACCTCTTCATCGCACACAACTCAACTCAATTTTGCGATTATCAACCGCGGTGCCGTCGAGAAAAAATTCTGCCACAATGTCGGGCTTTGTTCACAAGGTCAATGGCGCGGTCGCGCGCTCCGCCGTCGGACGGTACTTTCGCCTCGAGGGATCAGGGCATGTATGTATATCGCATGTCGATAGTCGGTACATGCACTAACAGCCCTATAGCCCAAAGAGCGCAAGGGGAGCTACTTCTTCACTGAGTTCCGCGCGGGACTAGCCACCTTCTTCGCCATGGCTTATATCATCTCTGTTAACTGTATGTCCATTGCGGGATGTCGTTGACAGAACCGCATCTGATGACCATGTGTAGCATCCATCGTGTCAGACACTGGTGGTACTTGCGTGTGCCCAGGCCTCCCGGACGACCCCATTTGCGAGACCAACCCACAGTACGCCCTCTGTGTCCAGGAAGTCAGACGTGATCTGGTTACTGCGACCGCTGCCATCTCCGCTTTGACTACTTTCTGCATGGGCTTGTTCGCCAATCTGCCCATTGCCCTGGCTCCGGGTATGGGGCTGAACGCTTACTTTGCGTACACCGTAGTTGGTTTCCATGGTACAGGTACGTCGCACCAATGCGCCATTCCCCGTTCCCGTTTATGTATCCCCGTTATGCGGTTCCCTAATTGGGTCTGCTTACCGGCGCCACGGGTCGTACCAGTTGATCTTCATGGAACGTTGCTAATTGCTTTTTAGGCATGGTCCCCTACGAGGTCGCTCTTACTGCCGTATTCGTCGAGGGTTTCGTCTTTGTTGGTCTTACTATGCTGGGTATCCGACAATGGCTTGCACGAGCTATTCCTGCTAGTATCAAGCTTGCCACCGGTGTCGGTATCGGACTGTACCTGACGATTATTGGTCTCGCCTACTCCGCTGGTATCGGTCTCATCACCGGTGCTCAATCGACCCCTCTCGAACTCGCCGGTTGCGTTGCTGCAGACCAGGTTGATGGCGTTTGCCCAGGAAGTGTCAAGATGAGGAGCCCAACCATGTGGATCGGTATCTTCTGTGGCGGTGTCTTGACCGTCATGCTTATGCTGTACCGCGTCAAGGGTGCCATCATCATCGGCATTCTCCTCGTTTCCATCATCTCATGGCCTCGCCCAACAAGCGTCACCTACTTCCCGTACACCGAGACTGGCAACTCCGCTTTCGACTTCTTCAAGCAAGTCGTTACTTTCCATCCGATTGGCAAGATCCTTGCTGTTCAGCAGTGGAACATCTCGGAGCACGCTGGTCAATGGGGTCTAGCTTTCATTACCTTCCTCTACGTCGATATTCTGGACTGTAAGTTGCGCGTTAGACACTTTTTGAGCAATATGCTGACATCACTAGGCACTGGTACCCTCTACTCCATGGCTCGTTTCTGCGGTGTTATCGACGAGCGCACCCAGGACTTCGAAAACTCCTCCATCGCCTACTCCGTCGACGCTCTCGGTATCAGTATCGGATCGCTTATGGGATGCCCTCCAGTCACCGCCTACATCGAATCCGGTGCCGGTATCTCTGAAGGAGGCAAGACCGGTCTTACCGCCATGTTCTCTGGTATCTGCTTCTTCATCGCCATCTTCTTCGCTCCGATCTTCGCATCCATCCCTCCCTGGGCTACCGGCTGTACCCTGGTAATCGTCGGTTCACTCATGGCAACCTCGGCCAAGGACATCAACTGGCGCTACCTCGGCGATTCCATCCCCGCTTTCCTCACCATCGCCGTCATGCCCTTCACGTACTCCATCGCATACGGTCTGATCGCCGGTATCTGCTCGTACATTCTCATCAACGGCACCGTCTGGCTCGTCGAGCTGGCTTCTGGTGGTCGCATTGTACCTCCCAACAAGGACGAGAAAGAGCACTGGACCTGGCGTCTCGAGGGCGGCCTCCTCCCCCCGTGGGTCAAGAGGCTCGCCAGCGGAAAGAAGGACTTCTGGAGATCTGACCCGGAGACTATGGGTGTCTCAGAGCCGCATAGCGGAGGCAGCTCGGCTCACGATGACAAGGAGTTCGTCACCGATAAACGTGCGTCGTAGACTGTGTCTGCTTTGATATTGAGATTGTATATGGGAATTTGATAGTCATTTTGCGACCTTTTTGTATACATGGCGTTATTACGTCGAGGCGCCTTAATGCGCGCCGACGCGGGTAGTTTTCTTCGATTATACCCTCACTTGTATCTGATATAGATCGGATTTATTACAATGGTACACAAGACGTAACATCTCCATTTTTGAAAGATTTGCATGTGATTACAATTGTCTCATTAGAACGGGAGAGAACGCCGTGTTCCAAAGCCACCAGCGCACGACGTCTGACATTCAGCGCATCTGGTACAAGGATATCCAGACTTGTCAGATATCGATCTTGCAGCAGTTCAAGCCACGTCGGCCATCGGGTGCAGGTGCGACCGACTCACCGACGCAGGTGCAAGGAACCTCGGTTGTGACCATTATATTATCGCTCTTTGGAACTACGTAGGTCCCCAGGTCACTACCCGACTGCAACTACAACGTCCATGATGCACAGTCAACACACGCCGCTCCTGCAGGCGCTGTGTGACATCTTGCTTCATACGTTGCACTTCAGACACGCTTATTGTCCTTATCCCTGCCGCGCTTGTTTTCCCTGTCATCTTCCTCATCTTCCGCGAAGTCGTACAACGCCAGTCCGCCACTGCTCCTGCCCAACGGCTTGTTAGAGGCATACATATTGGCTGCATCACCGCCAAATGTTCTACTTTTCTACTTTTGCAGACTGCTAGCGGGCTGATCTTCGTCTTGCAGAGGCGCTGTAGGCTTGGTGGGCGATTTCACGACGATGTTGAACGTGGGTACTACGGTAGCTGCTTCGATGTCTTCTCTTCCATATCGTCGAGAAAGTTGTCCGTGATGTCGGTTGTTCCATGTGTAGATCCCGGAGGTACTTGACGGTCCAGCCTGTTCTCATGATGGATTTAGACTCAACGTGAAAGGTACGCCCAACAAAAAATGTAGTGCATGACGCGAAAAGACTGTCATGTGTATGCCAAGGACTTCGTCTTGCGCGAGAGGTTATTTACGGCGCAGTTTTTGATACGATTGCTGGATACTGCAGACGCGACCGAGATCCAGAACGAAATGTGCAGAAATTGAGTAAAGTGGTATGCCGGCGTAAAGTGAAACGGAGTGAAAATTTTCTGCCTCTCTGTATAGCAAACAAGTTGGTTGTTGTCCTATACGCAATGCTTGGCATCCAAACTCTGGTGCCTACACTGCGTGTTGTTGCGTTTGCTCTCCACTACACTTTTGCTGACGCAATACTGGAATTCCCACAAATATGGGTACAATTCAGACGAACATGTCTGATCCATACGCAGCAGCGAGACTGTTTCGGAAGAGATTCGAGGACGCAGAAGCGCTCTTCGACAGCGGCGATATAGCTGGCTGCATATTGGCAGCTCAGCGCAACATAACGTAAGTGGCAGTAACAAAGCATCCGCCAAAATTAGTATTGCGATTTACTATTTCCAGCGACACAACTCTTCCGCCGTACTACATTATAAGAAACTGTATACTTCTCACGAGCGCTATGGATAACTGGGATGATGGCAATGAATGGAGGCTCGCCGCGGTAAGATCTCCAACGTACAGATTGGATGTGGAATATGCGCTGACTTCGACCGTGGCAATTCAGGAGAGTACTTACAGTAATGTGTTACGACGAGCGACGGAAAAGAATGATACGGGTTCGCTCACCCTCCTACAAGACCTCCGTGAGGAGCTTGACTGGTTGGCTAGGCAGCGAGACGAATATCTCCAGGAACACAAAGCATGGATGCTTGAGCAAGAGGGAGAGGACGATGAAGACAAGACGGATTCGGAAGCAGATGGAATTGAGCTAGACGACAGCGAGGAGGATGCGGAGATGGAAGCCGAGGGCGTTAAGTTAGGCGAGGGTAACGCGCTGATACTTCTTCCGATCCGCGGACACCAACCGGTCATCGAGGCACTTGCTATGGGCACTGTGCCAGTAGAAGAAGATAAGAGAGATAACGAGGGCCGGGAAGAAGTCACTGCCGGCGACGAGGAAGGTGAAGAATGGAGTACGGGAAAGATGCTAGGAGGCGGAGAGCAAGCAAGCACTGGCGATGATGGCCAACTGCCCGGAACGCCGGGAGTTAATCGAGAGGACAAGCGTTCTGCCGTTCTTGCAGGGGTCGAATTCCTTCTCGAATGCCAGTCGTACATACCGGAGCATATGCAAGGTCAGTATACCCAGGCGGTCCTGGGACTTCAGGAAGCTGCCATGCGCCGCATCAACAGCTTGTCTTCCACAGCTTCCGCAGCTTAATGGTTTTAGGTATGCACCCTATTGACGATCCCGAGGATTAGTAAATCTAACAATAACATTACCAGATACTACAAGGACGATGTGCTCAGTTACAAGCCCTAAACATCCTCAGGGATGCGTTGATAGCTGGCTGTGCGAGGATAGTTTGCCGCTTGCAGAAGTGGAGCTGCACTGCGCGATAGGGATGTCATGGGTTCGGAGGCCTCATCGGGGACGCATGGGATAGAATTTCTTTATTAAGAATTGAAGACGACAGGTACGTGTGCTAGGATCAGACTTGTCAAACATTGGTCTTGTAGCAGTCGCGACCTCAAGCCACCACGTGCCACACATCGGCCATCGGAGTTTGCCGCCTCCGATTCCGAGGCAAGCCCCGCCTCTAGATACCTCCTCTCGATGTACTCGTGATACGCCGGTTCCGCATACATCAATACCGTTGACTCCGCTCGAATTCCTTCAATTAACTCTCGCATTGTCACGCAGTATACATTCGCGCTCGAAGCATACATAAGGAGCACTATCCCAGAGCTTAGCATACCTCGAGGTTCCAGGCGCGGACATCCGGTGGCTTACGAGATCTTTTTCTAAGCAAAGTGGTAGCGAGCTCTACGCTTTGCAAGCACGCGGAACGACCAAGCTCCGTTATTCTTCCTCGACACGACTACTTTAAGAGAAGGCGATACCAGGCGAAAGTAATTGGACCAGAGTCATACCCCAAACATGCCTGCAGAACTCCAAAACGGGCTGCCTGCCCACGGTACCAATGGTGTCAACGGCAACGCGACGGAGCTCTCAAATCCCACACCTGCACACCCAGCGTTCGACTCGATACCAGATGTCATACAAGCCTTCGGTACGTGTCTGCGAACACCTCCAGCTCCAAAAGCTACCATACCCCTCACCCCGCACAACCCTTACTAACGCGCCTTCCAGCAAACGACGAATTCGTGATCGTCCTTGACTCACCCTCGCGCGAAAACGAAGGCGACCTGATAATCGCAGCCGAAGCCCTCACCCCCTCAAAAGCCTCCTTTCTGATCCGCTACTCAAGCGGCTACATCTGCGCGCCCCTCCCCGTTTCCCGTGCCGCCGCCCTGCACCTCCCGCAAATGGTCGCCGACAACGCCGACCCCAACCGCACCGCCTACGCCGTCAGCATTGACTCGTCCGACGCGTCCGTCACAACCGGCATCTCAGCGACCGACCGCAGCTTAACATGCCGCATGCTCGCCGACCCCAGCGCCAAAGCCAGCCATTTCAGGAGACCGGGTCATATATTGCCGTTGCAGGCGCGGGATGGTGGTGTGCGTGAAAGGAGGGGGCATACAGAGGCGGCGGTGGATCTGTGCCGGTTGGCGGGCAAGCAACCTGTTGGTGTTATTTGCGAGTTGATTACCGATGGCGACGAGGTGCCTGGTAAGCCGGAGTTGATTGGTGGAGGCATGATGAGGAGGGACGACTGTTTGGCTTTCGGCAAGAAGTGGGGGATTAAGGTGTGTACGATTGATGACATGGTGAGGTATATTGAGGAGAATGATGGGGTCTTGGGCACGTCCTCATAGTTTGAGGCGGGCAAGGGACCGGGTAAAGGTGCGATCATGAGAGGGAGGACATTTGTGAGATGATCCCCTTGGTATGTTGTACGTGGACGGTGTCGGCGCACTTTGAGGATACATGCGCTTTAGTCGTGGCATGGAAGAAAACCTGATATTGTACTATTAGATACTCCAATCCAGCGCAAGCTTCTCTATCCAAAAGCCAGGAAAACCGTACACATGTCATTCTATACACTCCGACGAAAACGAGCTCCGCCCACGCTTATACAATGGAAAGCAAACACAACGTTCCCGCCCATCGCAAACAGCACAGTACGCACCGAGGCCAGGCAAGCAAACCACCTCCCAGCTATACACTCCAGGCGACAAGACCACCCTCACCCACTCGCCCCAAAGAACTCCTCCAGCTTCCCCACCACCTCCTGCATAACCTCTTCCCTAACCGCAAAATTCACCCTCGCCCAACCCCCATCCTTCTCCACCCCATTGAACGCCCGCCCAGGCGCAACCTTGATCCCACCTCTTCCTTCCAACTCCCTCCAGAAAGCGTTCTCCTCCTCGCTTGTCCTAGTCTTCTTTGCTAGTTTAGCAGCGAGGAAGGGGCCGTGTGTCGGTACCACGATTTCGATGTCGTGGCGTCGGAGGAAGGAAGCGAGCATGTTGTAGGAAGTTGACAAGCGGGATGTGTTCAGAGTGAGAAGGGAGGGGAGGAGGGATGATGTAAGCAGGGAGGTCAGATAGATGGTCGAGAGGGAGGAGGGGTGTGTGGATGTTAGTGCCAGGGAGGAGAGGAGAGGGGTGTTTTGTTGGGATACCACGCAACCCTGAAATACTCATCAGCTCCTGGTCATTGCAATAGGTGTAGTTCTGAGGGGACAAGAAGAACGACTTACAACTTTCAGTCCACCCAATCCGAATAATCGACTTGCGTCCCACACCACATGCACGCGACTCGGATCGACCTTGACGGCTCCCTCCGGTACAAGCGGCTCAGTCAACGACAACGCGCTCACGAACGTCTCACCATTTCTTTTCTTCTTAGCTCCTCCGCCCCCTTCCTTCCCATCTAATGCCATCAACCCAGCCCCCTCATCAACGATTAGATGCAATCCTCTTTCTTGGCAGAACTCCAGTAACTCCCGTAAAGTTTCTCTGGGATAGCATCGGGAGAGTGGGTTGTTAGGGTTAGACAACAAAACAGCTTTAATCCGCGTTCTGTAGTCGGAGAAATCGTAGGCGGCTTGCAGGGAAGGGACGAGGTAGTTGTCCCAGTGGATGTGGGTTGGTGGGATGACGGGGATGGGTGTTACGTTTGCTTTTCGCTTCAGTAAGAGCGAGAGGGTGGCTGTGGTTATATCAGTCAAAGATGGCAATTTTGTAAGTGAGGGTTGGACGAAGTTATGGATATGACCGGGGCTTAATGTGGAAGGAATGCTTACGACAACTCGGACCAGGAACAAGCACACTATCCCCATCGTCGCAAACAGCATGGATCACATTCTCAATCGCGTCCGTAGTCCCGGCTGTAAGAACGACATGCTCAGCCCTCACAGCATGAACAGGCTTGAAATACGAGTTAAAAAAGCCCGCAAGAGCGTTCCTCAAACCTAAATCCCCGCCGTTAAGAGATTCCGCGGGGGACGTAAATGCCTATCGTAGATTCATACCGAATTAGTACATGCGCAAAACTATACTTGTATAAACGCATCCCGACGATCTCCAAAACCGGGGCGAACATACCTCAACCGCCCCCACATCCCTCACAACATCGCCCAGAAACTTTTGTAACTCGGGATACAACACCTCATTCCCCCCACAACTAAGATCAATCGTATTGTCAAAAGGGTCAAACGACGCTGGTGCGGTACCCTCAAGCGCAGGCGCAAGCCCGTCGAGCGCGTTCCGCGCTCGTCGCGACAGTCCCGGGTCCATCATGGCTGAGACGGAGAGGTGGCGCGTGCTGCGCATTCAGTATGCAGGATGTAGTATGGCGATGCGTGATGTAACAAAATTGAGGTGGAGTAGCTACAGCTGCTGCACTGTGGGGAAAGTGACCCTGCAGCACGTCGCTGTCGCAGATAAAAAACGTTGCGATCTCATTGTCCGGGGTGTGCTGCCAAGGGTGGTCGCTGCGGTCTGCGGCACAGTTATTTGTGAGGACCCAGTGGACTGGTAACCTGGGGCTGACGCGACGCGTTCTGTTGGTTGGGCAGGCGGCCGGCGAGGGACGGGTCATAGCTTCGATACGGTGACGGGATGGGTATCTCGAAGAAGAGTAGGAAGAGAGGACAGAGTGAAGATTATAACATCTATTATTTGGATTCGCGATAATGAACACAAGCGTGTGGGGAATCTCTGAAGAAGGGAAGGAAGGGAAAAACAATGTCTCCCCTCTGCACCAAGACCATGCAAGTCATAGAGCCTGCACGCGTGCTTTTTTCCCCCGGTCTATCCTAAGCCTCATGTCCTGCCCTGCCTAACACTATTACACAAATGCACGCCCCAAGCCAGACCAACGCCGTTGAAGATGCTCACGGATAAATGCATGCAGAGCGCATGCAGGCACCCTATTTAAAGGAAAACCGAACACCCTAGAGCCTACATTAAGATAAAAACTTGTGAAGTTGGTGGCTTGACGGCGACGTAGGCTCCTAGGTGTTCAGTTTTTCCCTTGTATGGGGTGCAGGGTCCAAGATAAGCGATGAGCTACGAAGCCCTATGAACGCCCTCAAGAGAATCTGTGTGTGCCCGTCTCGATTTTGGGTGAAGCGCGGCAATTCGTTCGTGCAAGCGCAAAGATGACTGCTCGTCGAGAAAATGAGGTCGAATCGGCAAGTCGCTATTCTATTGCTGTGGCCGTCCGATACCTTGCTTAGCCTGAGGAATTGTAAGCTTCGTCGTTAAAGGTAAAACAAAGACGGCGGTCTTCTTCAAAGCGGGAGGTGTCGGAACTGACCTTCATCATCTCAATCCTCTGCTTGAGATTTTGGGTAACCTCTGCTGCGCGCTTCCAGCTTTCCGCACCAGATGCTCCTGCGGAAGGTACCCGTTGAGCTGTTCCGTTCTCTGTTGGGCTTCTGCCATCACGCGACATCGACGACAGCCCATCTGCTCGTGGACTTAGTTTTCCGCTCAAGTTACTACCAGGGCGGGATAGAGAATCAAAATTCTCCTTACCATCGCCGCCCGGGCTTCCTGGCCCACTGGCAAAACTCCTCTCTCGCCTTGGGTGCATGGCCCGACTGCCATAGCCAGAGTCACCGAAATGCGCGCCGTTGGTGTTACCAACTCCGTTGTCAGTGTATATCTGGTCTCCGACGTCTGTAGCTGGCGGAGAATTTGAACGCGCCTGCCTAAGGAGTTCGCGCTTCAATCTATCAATCTCGCGGCGCTGGTTCTGTACTGTCTGTTCGGACGCTTCAAAGTCTGAGCGCGCACGGACGAGCTGCGTCTCCTTTGCCTTTATCGAGAGCACGTCGCGGGTGTGATCTTCGATGAGCTGAGCGTTCTGGTTCTGGAGCTCATGGATCTGCGAAGTGAGGTTTGTCCTTTCCCCACGCAAATCTTCATTCTGCCGCCGTACGCGTTCAACCTCTGCTCGTAGCTCATCAAGTTCCGCACGTTCCACCAGGCTGAGGCCGGTTGGCGCTTGTGGTGCTGGGGCGGCGACGGGTTCAGCAGCAGGCCTTCCCAGGGGACGACCTGCGAGACCACGTCCGGCACCAAACTTGGGCTGTGGCGGTGGTGCTTCTTCCTCGGGAGGAGGTGAAACAACAGATTTCCGTGGCGAAGGAGCTCCGAGACCTGGTTTCTTCAATCCACCGAGCCTTGATGGCGCAGCAAGACCGGGCTTGGCACCTAATTTGGACGCGGCGGGTCTTGAAGTCGGCTTCGGCTCGAGAGGTGCGGCGGGCTCTTCCACAGGCGGAGGCGGGGGTGCTTTTGCTGCAGGAGCCGGCTTCTTTGCGCCGCCCGGTGCTGGCCGTTTACCCATAGGCTTCTTAGTTGGTGCTGCGGCTGCAGGCTTGGGCGCTGGCGCAGCCTTTGGCTTGTATTTGGACTTGACTTCCGCAGCATCGAAGAACTCCTTGATCTTGGTCTTGCGGATCTCGTCAAGTCCGTCAAGATGAGCGTTCATGATACGGTCTCCCATAATCTTCCACAGCGTACCAAGCACCTCGGCACCAGCAGCTCGCTGTACCTCTTGAGATTCAGTAAGTAGTTTTGTAGAACTCTCTGCGATGGCCTTGGCTTGTTCCGGTGTTGGGGCTTCGCGGGTGTTCTTCAAGCATCGAACCAGGAATCGCGACGATTCAAGTTTGACCTGAGGATTCTTGTGCTTTAGAAACTCCAGAATCTCCTCCAAGCACTCTTGAAAGCTCGTACATGCGAAGGAGGCGTCCAGAGCAGCTCCAATGGCGTCAGTCACAGTCTGTTTCTTCTCCTTCAGACGCTCCATCATTGCGTTCATGACGTCTTTGCGGTACTTGGCGAAGCTCTTCTTCAAGCCCTTGGCTAGAAGCTCGACACAGTTCGCGGCAGTTACAACACAGGCAATATTCGCATCCTTCAGGCAGGTCTTCGCAAAGCCGCGTACTAGCTCATCGAAAGGTCCTTCGGCGATCCTTGGGTGATCAAGAGCTTTTTGCGTGTCATCGAGCGCTTCTTTTCGGTCTTTCCATTTCGACGAGGCCAGTTTCTCCGAAAAGTCCTTGGGAATCTTAGCGAAGACATCAACGGCTTCGTACTCGGGCTCAAGATCAATGGCGGCCTCCTCTTCCTCTTCCTCCTCTTCAACGTCTGGTGCAGCAGCAGCGGCTTCCTTGGCAGCCTGCTGTGAACGGAGCAGTCGCTCCTGTTTTGGCGAGGGCTCTTCCTTGACCTTTTCAAATAGCTTGTCGAGATCTTGCTGTTGGACGGGCTTCAGATCGTTCCAGAAGAGCGGCTTCATGGCCTCTTTTAGCCATCGGTAAAGTTCGACTGTCAACTCCTGCGCCTTGGCGCGAACGTTCTTGTCCGCATGGCCGTAACATTTCGGAAGCGCCTTGAGGACGGGCTTGGGCTCGATGGTTTTGCAGCCGTAGGCATGGTAAATTTGTGTAAGGGCGTCTAAAGTCGCGGCGATGACTTTGGGTTGCTTGTTCCCTAGTACTGGTAGGAGCTCTTCGATTACGGGGTCGGGCTTGTCGGTCTCGATGTATAGCATGAGCGCTTCGAGCGCCTTTGCCTTCGCTGCCGGTCGTGTCGAGGGTAGGCCCTTTTCGGCGATGACTGTGATGGTGTTTCCGCGTGACCTGAACGATGCGTTAGTAATGCGCCGCGCAAAGCTTTGCAAAGTACTTACCGTACGCAGCCCTCCCTTCCTGCTATCTCGAGGAAGGCGCACAGTGCGCCGAGACCTTCTTGTTGTGCCGCGACGTTGGAGTCGCCCGCAACACCTTTCCATACGCTCGCATCGTTTATGAACTGGCGCACAATGGGGTCTGATTCACTGGCGGCGAGACTGAACTCTTTGGCAGCGGCCTCGTATGCTTCTTTCCGCACCTTCCAGACCTTGTGTACGAAGCGATCCGGAAGCGGCAGAGAACTGAAATCTTCCTCCGCGGCGTCGGCCATGGCCTGTTATGGAATGTGATGGATGTAATGCGGGGTCGTCTAAGAAACCAGAAAAGCTAATGAAGAGTAAGTCGCGGAGTTCTGGAAGGTTGGAATGCCTTATAGCAAGTGGCGCAACAGTCCAAACACTGTGTGGACAACAGTGATATGCGCGCGGATGGGCGCGCGTGCAGTGGACCATGACTGATGCAGGAGGCAGGAGCGGCGGAGACGTACCAGATGATGTCAGTAGACAATGTTGTCGATTGCTTTTTGTGAGACTATTGGATCGCAAAGTCTCGGATAGCGATAACAGCGGAGTGTGAGGGGTCGAGTATGGTGTGAGGTGATGATGTAGAAAGTGCAAGTATGTTTTGGCGGGCGCTCCAGGGCTCGTTGTCCGGGCGAACAGCAGTGTTCCTTCCTAAACAGATCCCTGCACCACATGAATGCCCAACCCACCTACAGCGTCCAGCACACACGCCACCTCCAACACACGCCCGCATTATTGCTTCGAGACAATCGCTATCCTCCCGCCGTCGCCATTCCGCTACCTCTAATTTCCGCCCAAGATACCCCACCCCTGCAGACATCCTCCGCTCACCGCAATTCCCCGCGCCCACCAAAAACCTCCGCCTCGACCGCACACGACTACGCACCACGTCGCGATAGTGCATGGTCCCGTCTAGCGTCAATCGCGTATGACCTAGCCATTACGCCATGAGCGCGATATTGACAGATCGGCAAGCGGAAGAGCTGTGAGCATTGCAGACAGCAAGTGACTCGAGAGCCATGACTGACGACGAGCCAGGCACAAGGCCATAATCGCATATCTGGGCGTTATAAACGCGCCAAAGACGGCGGAAGCGTTCCGGGAAGAAGCCAACATAGCCGAGAGTTTCGACGATGCCACGCGGAAAAAGTACGAGGGGCTGCTGGAGAAGAAGTGGACCAGTGTAGTGCGGCTGCAGAAGAAGGTACTTGCGCGTCAATACCTACAGTGAAACCATATGCTTACACTCTTCAGGTTTTGGAACTCGAGCAACGCAACCAGAGCCTCCAGAGCGAGCTCGACTCCACAACGCCAACCTCACTCATCAGGAGAAACCAAGACCCCACCGCCTGGCTACCACGGGCTCCAGCACGACACACCCTCCAATCACATCGCTCGCCCATTACCTGCGTCGCTTTCCATCCCGTATTCTCGTCACTCGCTTCCGGCTCTGAAGACACTACCATCAAGATCTGGGATTGGGAATTGGGTGAGCTGGAAAGGACGGTGAAGGGACACACAAAAGGAGTGCTGGATGTCGATTTTGGTGGTCCAAGAGGTGGCACGCTGCTGGCTTCGTGCTCGAGCGACTTGACTATCAAGCTGTGGGATCCTTCGGACGAATACAAGAACATCAGGACGCTTCCCGGGCACGACCATTCCGTCTCTGCGATTCGATTCGTTCCTAGTGGGGCCGCCGGATCTCCATCTTCAGGGAACCTACTAGTCTCTGCGTCCCGAGACAAGACACTGCGCATTTGGGACGTCACAACGGGATACTGCGTCAAGACGATACGCGGGCATGCCGACTGGGTACGAGACGTAGCCCCGAGCTTTGACGGACGATGGCTTTTGTCTGCAGGAAACGATCAGACTGCTCGGCTATGGGACGCAAGCTCAGGAGAGCCCAAATGCACTTTCCTCGGTCATGAGCACGTTATCGAATGCGTTACAATCGCGCCTCCGGTATCGTACGCCAACCTTGCAGCACTTGCTGGACTCAAGAAACCACCACCACTCAGTAGCTCCGCCGAGTACGTTGCGACTGGATCAAGAGACAAGACCATAAAGATATGGGACGGACGGGGAACACTGATCAAAACACTTACTGGCCATGACAATTGGATACGGTCGCTGGTCTTCCATCCAGGCGGCAAGTACTTGCTATCGGCTAGTGACGACAAGACAATCCGATGCTGGGACCTCACGCAGGAAGGCCGATGCGTCAAGACTGTTACCGACGCCCATGGGCACTTCGTAAGCTGTATGCGCTGGGCCCCCAACGTCATCAAGGACGTACCAGTTAACGGAGATGCTACCAACGGCGCAACCAACGGTGCCAGTAAGAAGAAAGAAGAGGAAGCAGCCAAAGCAGGTATACGTTGTGTTATTGCGACAGGCTGCGTTGACTTGAACGTTCGCATCTTTGCCTCATGAGAGACGACAGCTTCGCCACTTTTGTTCGCATCGTTGCCAGTACGTGTTCTGCATAGGAAGGTTGGATGTACAGGCGAAGGGGCTTCCATACACGCGACTCCATGAGTTCCAGTTTTTACGACTTCATGTAAATACCCAAGTTACGCGCCATGATAGTCTCTCACGCGTCATAGTAAAGGCGCAAGTCGGAGAAGGGCATGCATATCAGTTTGGCGTCAATATGGGTGGAAAGATCAAGGATAGAGCAGCAAGAGACATGCGATCAGTGTTTTCACCAAATTTCCACAGAGCGAAGCAACATGACTCGCGATCCTCGTGCCTTGCTCAGTAGTCATTATGTGATTCTACGATGTTCTCAGTACTGAGGCCCGTGTCTCTATGAGGCTGGGGGTCCACCTTCGCGTGAGGCTGGCTTAGTCACCAACGCGCTAGTGGAGCGGAAAAACTAGCGAGAACTCCGATAGCTTAACTTTTCTCTCAGCGGCCTACAACTTGTCTTCCTACACCATTACTGCTTCACCCAGCAATGGCGCATCAACGATACAGCAAGATTTGCTGTTGTGCGCACAGGATCTATGACTAATCGTCAGCACTAACAGCACTGCTTCCAGCATGCGCTCACTCCCGTAAGTACAAGTACCCTACCCTCCATCCTGCGCTTTCATGATGATTCACAAAGCCAAAAACAAATTAGAGTCTTTGACCTCTAGGGGAATGAAACTCAAACTTTTGCACGTCAGTCTGATCGCGACTGCGCTCATCACATTGTCTTTGACTGTTGCGACGAGAGCATCAAGCTAACCAGCTTCAGATCCTATTGATATGCACTTAGATCACAAGCGCAGTGCGCTTTGGCGCTCATGACGGCCACAGGTAGCTTCGCAGCTCTGCAATATTACTGGTAAGCACATCACTCCTCCACCTTCCCTCGTCCAATGATGATCAGATTGTGCTACGGCACGCTGGAAATTACCGACCAAGGCTTCTGCCGGTGCCGATAAACAATGGCTGTTTCTGATTTCGACCTTCAATTCCCTGCTCTTCTCAACATCGCTTGTAGCTCTCGCTAACATCTCGCGCGTTGCAGACACTATCATCCTGCGACCCAAATGGTACGATTCCACCCTCTCGACCCCCCTCCGAACACCATATGATGATTCCGCACTGGGCACCGACAATTCGTGACGGATACGCTCATTATGGCAGGCCTCAGAAACCTCGCCGACTGACCTCGCTCGCCAATACTGCACAATCATACAAGCGTCGCTGAGCTTCGGCTAACAACGCAATCAGTCTGTTCTCCAACAACAGTCTGTATTATCCTCAATGGTAAGCGCACTCCTTTTGCTCACCTTCTGGGAAATGATGAACACTTGATGACGAGTCCGACGGGTTCGCCCGGTGAAGACTTAAAATCAAAATATCCATTCATGTCAACTGATCCCACTTCAATGCATACTATTTGCTTTCTCTTTACTGGTAGAAGCTTTTGCTAACTTGCTACTCAGATCCATCAGTGCTTGCCTCACTACAATCGGTACGCTCGCCGCCTATCTCCTTCTTCGATATGATGATACGACTTTATCAATGACAAGCATATGTCCAAGCTTCGGCGACGACGAGAACTGTCCTGTCTGATCCACACTACACTGTGTTGCACTATGAAGATGAGAGACAACAGCAACTGATCAGTTGCGTAGGATCTTCTACTCATGTTGCAATCGTGATGTTCTCCTCTATGGTAAGTCTTCACCCACAACCTCAACTTCCTTTACAAGATGAACATTCAATTTATCACGACGGTCTACCGAGCTACGGCAATGGTGATAACTGCCTGTGACAGGGCATGAGTCTGATCAACAACCTCGACTTGCACATATTGATTGCTTTTGGTGTATCAAACGCTAACAATGTGCTCAGATCTCAACCCTTTTCCATAATACTCGTGACCAGTAACGCCTTCCTATGCTCTTGCGATGTCGCTTGGAGTCTTCCACACAATGTCTTCGAATCCCCGGGCGAATTGTCCGTAGTCCACCATGCCAGTAGCTCAGTACAATCCAATCGTAATATCTCCACGAATCCTTGCCGTCAAGTGAATCTCTGCCTCCAAATCTAGCTTGATACCCAGGAGTAACGCCGCATCCTTGGGCTTGCCGTTGTCGTCCACTGGTCCCTTGATGATGTTGCCGGCCGGTCGGTTGAGTGTGGCTGAGGATGGGACAGGGCCAACCTTGGAAGTGGAAGACACCTTACGGCCACCGGAGGCTTGTCCATCGCTCTCAGTGTCGGAGCCGTAGGCTGTTGGGCGGATGGTGGAGTCGCTGATTGAGGTTAGCACATATAAAACCCTTCGTACCAGTGTTGCTTACAGGGTAGACATTCTGATGGATGGTTGGATATAACAAGAAGTCGATATTAGGTATTAGGCAAGTGGTTCAAGCTGGACAGGCGCCGGGCCGTTGCTGGGTATTGGCGATGGTGGATGGTGAGGATGAGATTCAGGTCAACTGTACTGGCCTTGATGAAGTGCCATATCTCTGCCTTATAAGCAAAGTCGCCATCCGATACGACAACAACGCATACCATTCACCTTTTCCATGAGTCGATGTCGCGCTGAACGCCCGAAACGGCTGTTGTGGCACTCCTGTGTCTCAAAGTCGCTGCCATCGTCCGAGTCTCGTACCAGCCTCACTACCGAAAGGGAATCAAGGGTCCAGACAAGACGATCAACCGCAGTCGCTTGAATGTTGTGGGGATGTGCTATGCTTGCCGGCGGGGCGGCTGTGACGATGAAACACACAGGGGCTGGTGAAGCTCAGGGCGACCGTCTCAGCTCGGACACTCTTGTTCTCAGTCGAGCGACCATCAGACCACCGGAGCTATCAAGCGATCCCGATTCTATGGAACCACGGTAATGCGCATAGACCATATCGAATCCCATCTGCAAGCGATAGCGAACATGGTGCACCCCCAAACGCATCCCCATGATGCAGCACACGCGAAATGGTCCTCTCAATCCTCATCGCCACAATCGTAGCCCCCGGTCTCCTCGGCTCTCAAGAAGCGATCCGGCAATCGCAATCCAAAGAGAAGCGCGAAGAACACCGTGCCCGCCGCTGCAACCTCATCGCCACATGCGTCAAGTCTTCACATCGCAGCCGCGAAATCGACGGCCGGCAAGTCGTACTGAGAAACGGGAAGCTCTGGATCGATACCGGGACAGAAGATGGAAGTCCACTGGGTCATCCTTATGCTGGATATTACTTACCGTACCCGGATACAAGTTACGAAGGGCTTGTGACGACGATTACGGATGTGGCGCCGATCATGAACTGGGTGTATGTAGATAAAGAGACGGGAGAAGCGAAATATGGTGTGAGAGCTGATGCACAACCGCATCTCACAGGCCCGTTTGACTGCACGCGTCAAGACCGACGGCTCACACTCGATGGTTGGGAGGGGTGGTGTGCAGTTGAACAAGCACCCGGACTATGGGGCTTGTACTTTGATCTCGATGACGACGGCCTCAAGTCTAGAGTTGCACCTGGTACGAGGGTACTAGAGATCGAACTCAGTCGCAAGGAAAAGAGGTGGAAGAAAGAGGCGGACGAGAGGGTGGCGGATCAGACTACTAAGAGGGAGGTTGAGAGGGAGGATGATGCGCCGGTTGAGAAGCCGTTGGGTGGGGAGAAGGTGGAGGTTAGACCGGGGGTCGGTGCTGCAGTGGGAGAGGGGAAGGAAGAGGGTTGGAGGCCGATGAAGATACCGAAGTCTATATTTGAGGATCCGCCGCCCGTGGTGGAGAGTTTGGTCTTTCGGTCAAGGACACCGCCGCCGGCGTATGAGTCTGTTGGAAGGGGTGAAGAGAAGACCTCGGGGACAGCGATGGGACAAGAGGAAGCGCCTGGTGAGGTATCCAGCATGGGTCAAAGTAGTAACCCAACGCCTCCTGTTGTAACAGAATCCTGGTCAGCTGAAGCTCAGTCAACGTTCGGTGAAGAGACAAAAAGTCCATCAAACGACGCAAACGTCGCACAAGCTCAATCACCATCGATACGGGTTGATGAGATCCAAGGCACCACCGCTGACAAGGTAGACTCTACGTCGTCACATGAAGAGCAACCCTCGTCTTCCAGCGAGAGACGAACCACACCGAAGCTGAACAGAAGCAGCGGCTCTCGAGCTCTAGCCCAGGCGCAGAAGTTCGAAGCCATGGCAGCAGCGCAAAAGACTAGTCCTGAGGCTAGACGGCGATCAAGTGAACGCGGATCGAGTGCCAACAGTAACACGTCTTCTGTATACTCCAATGAAGATGCGTCACTGAGCGTGCCTGGAGTCAGTGCACAGCCCCAAGCTTCACCAGCACCGGCGTCTCTAGCACTCGCCGTCTCCAAAGCGAAACAAGCAAAAGCACTGGCGACGCGGTCACAGCCATCAGGAGCCACAATGTCTGTATCCGACCCGTCAATCCAACGACCGATAACACCTCCCCGCCAACGCGCACCCTCCATCCGAGAAGACCCAGCCATATCCGCAGCTCAATCTACATCAAATGCCCAACCCATTATATCTCTACCCCGTCGACCGAATCCAGATAGATCTAGTCCCCGCCCAAGCCCGAGTCCCTCATCACGACGATCAACTTCGCAGCAGTCGACACAAAGACCCACTCCCGATCGCCGGCAAAGAGATCGTTCCATCTCTGAACTCTCATCGCCATTCTCCTCTAGAGCCGCTACGTCTCGTCCGTCACCTATGTCATCCACTACGGCATCAGGGCGTCAGTCTCTTGCAAGGACTATGACGAGTGGGAAGGGGAATCAGGGGATGAATAATAGGATTGGAGGGGGTCAGGGGAGGGGAAGTACGGGTGGGATGGGTAGGCAAGCTGGTAGTAGTCCTGCGGTTGGGAAGAGTAGGGACAGGGCGGCTACTGATAATGGTGGGAGGAAGACTACGTCGGCGTTGTTTAGGCAGATTGATGATTTGGTTGGCTTGGAGGAGGAGAGTGGGAAGACGAAGTGATATAGCGTTGAAACACCATCACGAAGATGAAAGATGAAGATCAATACAAAATTTCTATCAAACATCACTATATCTATTTCGCAAGGAGGTAGTGCTTGGTTGAGTAATCACGTTCCGTGTTGATGCCCAAAACCGATTAGGCGTCAATGCCACCTTCCATAATTCGCTCAGTGCCACCATCTTTCTTCATCTCTTCTACCACCTCACTTCTCACAATCACCAACATCCAGAACCCGAGCGACAGTCAATCCAGATGATACACTTTACCGCATACGACGGATCTGCCGGCTAACCCACCCGTTGCATGGCGTTGCGGACCGGCAAATGTGAAACTCGACCCACCATCGACCGACTCACCCATCGCAAGTGCGTCAGGTTTCCGACACGTTTTGGCGAAATGTCACATGCCGTATTGATCACGCGATAACAAGGCGTCATGTAGCGAGAACTGTTTGATGGAGAATATGGTAATGCTAGGTGGCGCGGTAAAGTGATTGCTCGTTGAAAGCTGGGGTAACTACCCAAGCGTGCCTGCTACTGACTGCTAACAACTGGAGAACGGGCGAGCCCTTCTTTCGAGTGTGTCGTTTGCTTTTCTGTTGTATACAGTCCCTTTTCTTAATCTTGTCGACTAATGCACTCGGTGGAAGCTTCGGCATAGTACTGAACAGTATCTCCTACAAGGCTTTTGTTCGCTCTACGGAGAACCCAACATGGATGCATCGACACGGCTATACAAACGCTTGGGAGAGATACCAGAAAACCCAAACGACCCCGAAAGTCTCGACGACTTGATAGTCTGCGCATTTGGCGCCTTCGAGCGATACTACGTATGCTGGAAAACGAAGGGAGGAGAGTTCAGACAAGGTGCGCACACACTGTCTGATAATAAGGGAAGATCTCATACTAACAACTCAAAGATGGCTACGATCTCCCTCCCGCACTCAAAGACTGGCTCTATCCCATCGACGGCACAACACGAGACTTTGCGTCCCTTCAAGTCGTCTTCGGTCGAGGCGAGGAATACTTCGCATCCGACAAGAACGGCAAGCTGGAGTACAAAGAGCCCGAAGTGAAGAAGCCAGGGCCTACTGAAGATGAAGAGAAGCTTGATCGACAGGCCCTGAGGAGATCGCGAACGGTCTCGTTCTTGCGACCATTATCGGAAACGAGCATGCGATCAGATGGCGGAGTGAGCGATACGAACAGGAGCAAGCGGTCGAGCTCAATCAGTTCGCAACGAGCGAGTCGGCCACCGAGTCTAAGTTATACGAATTCGAGGACGAACTCGGATATTTCGCTGTTGGGGGAGACGATTGTTGAGGGGCAAATGAGGCAACCGGGACGACCTTCGTATATATCGCAGTGGACAGCTCTTGGCTCAGGTGTAGGCGATTCGGAGAAGATGGAGTCGCCGCAAAAGTCAGATCCGAGGACAGACGCCGAGCCAGTGATAGAGCCAGACCGCAAGCCGGTGTCGACGAAGACGATATCTCCAGCACCAGTCGAGAGCACACCATCGCCACCATCATCACAGCCCGCCCTGAACCAGGAATCCACGACACTACAACACAGTCCTCCACCCCAGCCAAGGCCCACTTCAGAAACTTCACCATGTCCATGCAACTGCCACGCTACACCGAACCCCCCTCCACCCCCGCAAAAACCCACCTACTCGACCACCGCAACCCAAACATCACTTCCCCCTACTCCTCTCCCCAGAGAAAATTCATCTTCATCCTACTGGCCATCGCAAGCGAACTACACTGCCATACCTCAAGAGCCATCCTACTACACGGACGAAGACTACGATACACCACCCGTTTTCATGGGACGCATGTCGACGTACTTTAGTAAACCGGGGTACCAGTTGGGAGATAGTTTGTTTAGTGGGTATCAGCCGATTGACTGGGGGAGTGGGTATGAAGAAGTGGAGGTGGAGGGGGATGGTTAGGGTGAAGAGAAGGCGAGCCGAGCACTTTATTGAAGGGAAAGGCTAAACACCGATGGGTCTACCATGACGCTACGTCTTCTTGTTTGCTGTTCTAGTGTAGGCTTCAGGCCTGTTCAGTGCCTTCCTTTTATCAGGTGTGAGGAGGGATGAAGTGGTTCAGAGTGTGTTGGGTGTAATCTTGATGAGCTTTCCCCCCCCTCACGTAGTATTGATATTCAACAGTCGACTTCTCGACTTCGTCGTTTGGAAATATTTTCCATTATCAACTGTTCCACAACCTTCATTCGATGTTCGCCGTTGCCTCACGGAAACACGTATCGCTTTCCTCAGAGGCGCATCTTCACTTCTTCTGATCGATCACCTTCACGACACTCATCATCTAAATCATCATCCTTTTCCTTTTTTACACACACGCGCAGACTAAGTGCACCAAACCACCAGTAAAATCACTTTCAATGCATAGATACTCAACCCAGACCAAGCGTACACCTCTTTGTTTGCGCCATGCATCTTACTTTTCCAGTATCGACACCGCCAGTCCCATACATGCGACATGTACACGCGGTAAACGCGCCACCAATCCCGCCGTGCAACGTGCAACCAAGAGGAAGCTTGACCGTTACATTCCAGCGATCGACTCTCCAGCTGCATGCAGGGTGAAGCGGAAATTCTCCGCCGTGCATGTGATTGATGACTTACATCCGAACCTTGCACCTCAGCACCGCAGCATAACGTTGAACTAGTGTTCACAGCATATCCGGGGATTTGCTTACCGGCAGCTGATCCCCATGTCTACGCTCGGAAATGAGACGGTTATTAGCAACCGACCTCGTGGACATGATGGGGCTGGGAACGGGCGAGATGACGTCGTTTCTCGTGTTACCTTCGACCACAATCGCGAACTACCCATACCTGGGTACTGTACGCGAAACGCAGTAATGACAGCTGCCCGGGCATGTTCCGCCTCATTCTTCTTCTCACCAGTAAACTGCACTCGATCCGCAGCGCAATAGATACTATAAAAGCAGATGATTCCGCACCCCCCACAACCCCCACAATACAGACACGCGCGAACTCCAACTCGCAAAAAAAAACTGAATCATTGTCGGCGTTGGCGATCGCGATATCCAACTGGCTGTATTACCCAAAGGGGAAAAAGTCGGTGGAACGGTGGAACCTCGTTGTCTCTTCGCTTGCCTCTTGCCTCGGTTCAAAGAACGCGAAGGACAAACACGAGACGTTGACATCATTTTGAACGGGTGTCAGAGAGACGCCAGGGTCAAGGACAAGGGCAGTTTTTCAGGGTCCTGCCGAAAGGTCCGATAGAGAAGCGTGTGCGACAGGTGCGACAGCAGACAGACAGTACCGACGGCCGATGCCGAAGGTAGGGGATTCAGGGATCGACGATCTTGCCTTGTCTGAAGGAAGGGTCTCTGAGGTTGACTGACGTACGTCTTCAATGATCTGTTAACCACCGAACCTTCATGATGGTGTTCCAACAGAGTGCGCTCGTCTTCTGACATTCTGGATGAGCTAGCGCCAATAAGCTGCTGTTCTTCCACCAGACCCCGCAAAGCCCACGCAGTCTGCGAACGCCCGAAAGCCCGCGGGAAATGGGTATCATGATGCAAGCGATGCGACGCATGGCGTCTAGACATTCCATACAACCTTCACATATCGCTATGCCGCGACTCTCGAGAAGGAAGTTCAGTTCGCTAGGCGGGATTGTCCGCGGCTACATATGCGAAAGTCTATAGATGCATTGCATGCGTGCGTGATTTTCGCTATTGGAACGCTTGCTTCGTTAAGAAGGCAAGAGAGAGGGTACCGCTGCGGTTGCAAGTTCGCGATGAGTGATTATCTCGAAAGCTCGGTTCGAGCAAACATTGTTGATAAGCTGAGCTATCTCTCCATCCTCATGAACAACTGCTACAACACTTCTTCATTCTTGATACCATCTGTTGGGGCGATGGAAAGCGGCAGACTAGCACTATCGTGAGGAAGTATGCACCCGTCCCCATTACGAGAACGCGTGAGCACACCCAGCTTACCCGCATCTGGTTCGCCAGAACGCCCACTGCACACCTCCCACACTGGCGGTTCGTGAAGAAGCGTAAAAGGGAGGCTGTGCACTGGGCATTGGCATGCACAACACACACAAACAGCGGTTCTTTGTTTGTGCTGTGCAGCGGGCGCCGGATTGTGAACGCATCCGCGACCGCAAGCAGCTCTCGTAAGTGGGATGACATGCTCGTGGTCATGCTGCTGATTTAGCTTTCCTGACGGTGCGGCTAGCTAATTGACTGACTTTGCCGCGCTGTGCGGACGGTCGCTGAGCCGTCTGGAGCTACGACAAGGTGTGTTGCGACTGAGTGTTTAGCCTTAAAAGCCTGGGATGCCACCGAGGCCGTCCCGGCACATGCTCTTGTGCAGTGCGTCGCATTGCGAGTGATCACGTCGATTCAATCGCAGCCGCCGCGAGCGCCTGGCGTAGCGCTCTCGTCGCGCATCCCGTGAGACGACGTAGTGGTGTTACATCTGTCGCCGATCATCCACGCACCTCATCGTCCTTTGGTGCAGGACGACCCCAACGTGGGATCTTGACAGAGCATGCGCGTCCAAAAGGTTAATCACGGTCTTGCTGGGAGATAACCTATCCCTGTCGACCGATCATGGTCAGCGAAAATCTCTGCTCGCAGGCGCTCCACGCTTCGCATGCAGGGCGTCTCATCTGGCCGCTTGAGGAATACGTCGTGTGGGCGAGGCGGGAACCCTGGAAAAATTGGATTGGCAGAGACGCTAATTGGTGGAGGAGAAGGAAAGCGAACCTTGCGGCCGTGCGGCACGCCCTGCAGGCTGCGACTCAAGGACGTCACTCTGCGATGCTTGAGGGGTCCGTCGGGATGCCTCAATTGACATTGCGAGTTCACGATGAGAGGCACATGGACACGCAAGATTGTTTTACTTTCTTATTTCATTGTGGGCCAGACGTCAGAACGCCAAAGGCTCCGTCTATACTTTTGCGAAACCCCCACGGGCAAACCGCCCAAGCATTGAAATCACCACCCAAATCCATCCCATTGTATATACGTATGCTTGCTTGTTCAACACTCAAATGCAACAAACAGTGATGGCGGCGATCTATGTAGAACGGCCTCAAACGCACATCAAGCGAATGGTTCGGGCCAGGTCATAAAATATACACAGGCGACCGATAGTCAAAAGGGTAGTCATGAAGACTAAAAGAAGATATGAATAGAGATCGCCTAGGCGTTGGTATCATCGCGCACCAGCAGCGTCATCAATCATGGCGTCATCAAAAGCGACAGTAGCTGCGAGAGCTGGCTGTCCCTTCGCAGGCGTCTAAAACCAACCACTGTTGGTATAAGATAGATCAAAGTTGTTCATCGCGTTGAAAGCACCATTGGTCTGATCTATAGGCCATGGGTCCATGGGAACAACATCTTCGAAATTGCTAGGCATCGAGAGGGCGGCTGTGTCGGCAAAGTCAGGCGAGGCGGTACTCGTCATAGTTGCTGGCGCAGCAGTCATGCTCTTGGCGTAGATAGGATCGAAGCCAAGCATGTTCGGCATGGGTGCCGTAGTGGCCATTGGCATGGGCGCGTTGATGGATTCACTCGGTACGGCAGTGCTAAAGCGATACGCAGGGGTATCTTCCCAGAAGAGCGACTCGCTGGCAGCCGACTGAGGGGCTTTGAAGTCCAAGTCACCAAAGAGGGCTGGCTCTCCAATTTCCGAGTGCGCAGACGACGCTACAGTAAGGCCGGGACCGCTCAGTTTGGACTCTCCGCTGTGTGAGATCGGCTGCGCCAAGTCGTCGTTGAACTTGCTAGGGTCCAGCGGGAGATCAGTGGCAGACCAGACGTGGTCGAAACCAGCAGATGCTGTCAACCAGTCGCTATCCATGTTTGGTAGGCAATCTTGCGATGGCGAGGTGGACAGGCTGCCCAGACCGAACGTACTGTTCACGGGTGTTACACTGTTGGCTATCCATGGCCACTGATTCGAGAACGTGTCGCTGACGTTGCTGTTGGGAGACTCGCCGTCTTGTTGAAAGACGCCGGGCTGACTGCTGAACATCTCGTTGAAACCGAATGTGTCGAGGCTACCGCCGACGTTGGGAGTCGGCGACTTGTCGGCACAGCGCTGTGTAGAGCCGAACATGGTGTGGAAGTCGTTGTTCGATAACGAGAGCGTGTCCATGGAGCGGGTAGCGGGCGGTTCAGGCTTGCTGCGAGTACTCTTCTCTTGCGAGAGAGCGGAGAAGGCGGCATGGCCGTGTAGCGTATGCGGACGAGGAATCTTGTACGGAAGGCCTGAGACGTGGGCGGAGTTGTTGTTGCGATGGCAAGGCTTGTGGTGGCCGTTTGCGAAGACGGTCAAGTGGCTCTCCGAGTGCGTCGCAGTCAACTTGGGTTTCGCGCGAGCATCGTGGAGCGTCTGCCGGGTAGTGTCGATCTTGAGATCGATCTCTTCCTTCTTGGTGCCACACAAGCACTTGCCGCCGGAATGGCACTGGCAGCGGTTGTCATGAGCTAGAGTAACGTCAGAGATGTCGGGGACGGCCAAGCCAGATGTGAGCTCACTCTTCGCGTCGCCTTTGTCTTTGTGCAAGTCCTTGTCCTTCTTGTCGCCACAATCGCACTTGGCGTGATGAGACTTGGACTTGCGCGCACCGCGACAGTGTTCGCATTGCTTGACAGGACGACCCTTGGGGTTGATGTGGTGGAGATCCCGATCTTCAAGACGAATTAGCACTGAAAGGTTGTGAAGCGTCGCACTGAGCGACATACCAGTGTGGTTGCAACCGCTCACACGGTGGCCCTTGATGCAGGACGAGCAGGCCCATTTCTCGCCATCGATAACAGGCATACCGGGGCGATAACGGCCGAGTGCGGTCGTCGCAGCTGGCTACGAGCAGCTGGGTAGGAGCGGTCCAGGGAGCCAACTGGCTAGAAGCGGCGAAAAATGACGAAATAAAGCCACACGCGCGGTGTGAGCGTCTGGGTAAAGATACAGGGAAGAATAGTAGGATTCAAGAGAAGCTAGTTCAAACGCCAGAGGGTATCTTGGGCAATGGTATGGTATGCTGACTTGTAACCGTGAACGCCGGGGAATGAGACCGAGGACGACAGGATGGAGTGGAGAGTGGAGTGGGAGATCAAAGGGGAACCGAGCGCAAGAGGCGCTGGCCGAAAGCGTTAGACGGAGCTCCTTGGGAACGACCAGACCAGTATACTATGTGGTGTTGTGCGGGTGAGGTAGTGATGAGAGGGAAGAGAGCGAGCGGGAGGAACAGGTTAAGAGGAACGCACACGGCCCTGCGCGGCGTGTAATTGGCTGTGGGGCTTAGCGTCATCGGCAAGTGCGCTCAGACCTCGACGCTCGAAGCAAGCGCGATCAGCCATCATGACGGCGGCTCCTTTGGGCTAGCGCGGGAATCCCACACTTGCATGCAAGTGCAAGTGCAGGTGCAGGTGCGAGCCAGCAGCACCTTCTCACCGCATGAATCCTGCCATCCGCCAGCCCGCCGCCGTCGCGATCCACACCGGACGCCTACGACGCCTGCGACGGAGCCTGCTCCTGTGCTGCGCTGGCCTCGCCAGCCCGCCTCTAATCATGCGGGACTCCACGCACGGCATGTTTCATTGCGGACGCGATTCGCTTGTCGAGTCAGCATGTTTCCCTTACCGCGACGGCCGTAACTCGAAGCATCCGTCGCCCGTTGCCAAGTGGAGATCATCACTATTGTCTGCGTCGATAGCGTCCAGCACATATAGAACCGGAAGCAAGCCTATCCATTACTCTCAGGTACAGTGCCCGCTTGTATATCTCACATGAATCCTCCGGCCCAGGGAGCGCTAGCCCGTCGACTCGAATTTGATCTTTTGTGGGACAAATGGAATTTAGATCCAACAGAGCGTCTAGCCCTTGGGACCACTGGGCACAGCGTTGGCATAATGTTTTTGAAACGGGACCCCATGGCTTCTCCGTGGGGTATACTCTGTCGGTGTATTGCACCGCTCTTATACGGGAGATCCTGGTGATCTTACGCTTGACGCTGCAGCCAGCCGTCAAGTCGTTGATCGTCTCGTGGAACTCTGGTACCGCTAATCTACGAGAGCCGGAGTAATTACAGCATCTGACATTGAACGACTTCGGATTCGGTATGCACTGGCCTTGTACATGATCGTGACCCGTGAACAGGTGTACGTATATCATATGATACGGTGATTCTTCAGACCCCGTACCCACCAATGGCTCGAAATTGTTGAACGTCTTGCTCAACGTGTCCAAGTGCACCGGGGACTTTTTATGGCGAGCTCATTGTAGTGTGTGGTGACCCAAGTAAGTCGGCACTAAAACCATCATCTGAACACCAATGGATCAGCGCATGATAGACAGGACGAGGTCAATATCGCGCAGCAGCAGTACAGTAGCAGCAGAAGAATATGGCTAATTCAGCAGTCTCTTGACGTTCATAATGCTATTCATCATCGGTTGCAGTGTGCGGGCAGTTCTGATGATGGCTGTGCATGGTGCTCCCACTGGCCGCCCGGAGCGCGTACGGTGAAAAGATAATCCAACAGCGACGTCGTCACCGACCAGTTAGTAGCTTCCGATCCACGCTGCAAGCAGATAACATCTCCCATGTCTTAGGAAAACGACAACCACCATAATGTTGTTGTCACTTTCCCATTCATCCAAGGCCATGAGGACCTGTTCTCTCTTGCCATGGTTCACGCTAGCGCAAAAATCGCAAAGCTCGCACAACTCTCCTCGGCGGCCTCTTACACAACACGCTCCTCTCGCTTTCCAACGCCAGAACCTCGCGCGCGATCGCGCAACATTACCGAACCGGTGCTCTGGATAAATAACAACGACATTTCTACCTGCAATCTCGAATACGACGCGCTGAAAAATGGCTGGTTACGGGGACTCGGATACGCAGATGGGAGGAGGGCCAGGCCAATACGCGAACCAGAATGGCACACCACCGGCGCAGCAACACCAGTTGACTGATCCCGAATTGCGCCTACAGGAGAACCTACAGCAGCTGCGCGACGGTGGAGACATGATGCATCCAGTCGGTCCCCAGCAGCCTCAGTACCAGCAGATGGCTCATATGGGACCTGCCATGGGCGCGCATCCGCATTTTGCAGGTCCAACGCGCCCGACGCATTCTCCACAGCAAATGGCGCAACATGTCATGAATATGGACGGACACCACGACCCGTACGATCCCAACGACCCGAATCGCAAACGCTCCAAAGTCTCACGCGCCTGCGACGAATGCCGAAGGAAGAAGGTATGCGATGCCTCCAATCCTGCACAACATGCGCTTACGCTGGGTAGATTCGATGCGACGCGACCAGCGAGAACGGCCCAGAAGCCTGCTCTAGTTGCAAACGGACTGGCGCCCGCTGTCAGTTCAGCCGTCAGCCTATGAAGCGCGGCCCGAGCAAAGGGTATGTGGATTGTGTGCAGTTTGGCGAGTCTGCTAACAATTTCCAGCTATATCAAAGAACTTGCGGACCGGCTGAATTCGCTCGAAAGCCAGATTCACCATCCTCCGGCGCAGTCGCATAACTTCGATTTCGGAACGTTGGGTGATCAGCCGTTTCCCGATACTCAGAGTCCACCGCAGTTCAAGCGTCAGCGCACTCACTCCATGACAGACGGGTTCCACGAGGCTTTCAGCCGGCCCAACTGGTCCGCACAGGATCGCGGTAATGGTGGATCTGTAGACGCACATGGTCTGCCTGTGTTAGGTGATCAAGACTCGTCGCTCAATGGCAACCGTCGTACCTCTTTTGGAGAAATGAGTTTGGGCGGGAGTCTTATCACAGGCTCTCATGAAGAGATTCTCAAAGCGTACGTATACCCGCACATGTGCATTTTGCCAGACACTAAACCATATATCAGGTATTACAACATCATTCATCCCACGTTGCCTGTTCTGCCACATCACGAGTCTCAACTAAACCGCCTTACAAACTGTCCGTCGAAGCTGCGAGAGACGTTCTTCCTCGTACTAGAAGGATGTATCCGGTCCATCGCCTCGAAGGCTCTGCCACCTATCGATATCAGTCTTAATCAGCTGTTACAACAGTGCTTTACTTCAGTCGACGCGGCGAACTATTGTCTTCATGACACGGACAGCTCACGACGGTTCTATAACCACTTGGTATACTGCCAGTCACTGATCTTGCTTGCCGCAGCATCTGACAGACCTGGCCCAAGCATCATAGGCAGTACTACTGGACTGCTGGCCCGTGTCTCAGCATGCATTGCAGATGTCGGAATAAATGATGCCAGAACATTGGCTGGACTGAAAGAACAAGATCTCGAAGTGTATCAGACAGCTCGCCGCGTATATTGGACTGCGTTGATCATAGACCGTTTCCACGCGTCTAGTCAATCGACGGACATGATGATTCGACGATACTCTGGAACACTTTCGCGAGACGATTACTCAGCCCTGGGTGAAGTCGCTTATTATCTCGCTCGTAAGTGCAAGCTCTTTCCATTGATGACTATCCGAGACTAATCTTCATCAGGTGTTGCCCTACTCGTTGGCCGCATAGCCTACGTCAATCGGGCTGGAAGCATCCCAAATGTTGACCCAGCAGCCCCATTCGCCTTTTCCGCGCTCAAACCTGGAACCACGGAGTCAGAGTACCTCAACGGGGCACTAGATGAAATCAAACAGTCCATCGATCTGACTACCTTGACGAGTAACTCGCCCCCTCATCTGGCGCACCAGTATCTCAGAGTGTTTATCGCGCGACTTTCAGGCCAGAATTTGCCTTCTGCCGAGGTCCTCGAAGTCACCAAGGACCTGCTCAGCAACCTCATGAGCGGCGCTATCACGCCTTTGCACCACATCTTCGCCGCTCTAGTCGCCACATCCCTCACCGAACTAAACGACCGAGGCGAACTAAAAGCAGAAGCAAGCGCAACCATAAAAGAAATGAGCGACGCACTATCAAACGGCCAAATCATCCACCGCAGCTCCGACGGCCTAGGCTGGGAAACCGCAATCGGCGATCTCCTCCACAAGAAGAAGTCTTCCACTCCCCCTTACACCGGTCCTGAGCAAGCCAGCCCCGCGCTCGAACCCAACATGGCCGGCCTGCAACATCTCGCTGCCGCCGCAGTGGGAGAACGGGAAGGAACGGGTGATAATAACCGGCCTGGTAGTTCTTCGCAGCAGAAGGTCGATAATGATCTTTCGGCTGCTATGGCGGCGGCGAATGAGGCTGCTAAGGCGCAGGCGACTGCTGTTGCGGCTCAGGATCTTTTTCACTAGATGTGGTGAGCGTGGTTGTGCGTGAGCGATGCTTGTCTTCTGTTTTGTAGTGGATATACCCCCTTTTAGCGGTGAGCTGGTATGATGGTCTGAATTGTAGGCTTGTATCATTTTGTAATGAGATTCGTTCGTCTACTTGCTCTGTTGGATGTTCAGTGAATGTGAGATATTGTGCCCCGTTTATTACTACACGTAGCCGGTATGCGCAGTGTTTCAACCTGATCAATCATCGAACATGGCATGACGCACCCTTCAGGGTAGACTTTGAGTGGTAGGATCATGTGCATCGCTCTCGTACTCCTCAAGTGAGTCCGTTTCGTATCCTTCGATGGAGTCACTCTCGCATTCGTCGACCATGACAACGCCCAATTCCCGTCTTCCCGCGGCATGTGCGGTCTCATCCTCTTGCTTCAATCGATCCAACACAACGTTGACCCCCGGTACCATGACGTTGTCTACGAAAGATAGTAGATCGCCTTCATGGGCGTCATATCGTGCATCGAAGCCTGGTACCAGATCATCCAGCAGACGAACAAGATTTGCGTCTTCTTCCTGGATGCGGTGCAACTCATCTGGGGAGTATCGCGGTGGAGTCGGACGCGAAAAGTCGTGATGATAAAAAGGACCCATGATGTAATTGAGGTCGCAGCACGTGTGTCGAATGCCCAGACAGGTAAAGACACACATTCTGATGAATTCGGTGATGATCCATCTATGCACAGCATCTTCAGCTGCTCTCGCAACAAGTTGTATATACTTTGTGATCTTTTGGTACTGGCGTTGATCGTGGGGATGCATATGTTCCAAACTCAAAAGTTTCAATCTCCATTTCAGTCCTTCACTTGCGTGAGTGACGATCGGAGCCTGCTTGTGAAAAGCAGTAATGCTAGTACACCCGTGCGTACTACATCTGCATTCACAGTCGTCCGTAAGTTTCTGTTGAAAGATGTTGATCAACCTTCCCCACGTATCATCCGGTATTGCTTCGTGACTGTTGTAGAAAAAGGCCATGGCAGCTTTTGCACCGATGCAATGTGACGCGGTGCTTTTCAGCCCAAGCCAGCAGTCGGTAATGCGCGCCCCTTTGCCTAGGAACCAGTCTACAAGTTGGAAAAGTCCAGACAAGGGGTCAGAAGAAAAAGTGCGTGGGACGTAATTTGCTACAGCGAAGTGCAATGGCGGGCAGGAGGTGATGTGGCTGCATCCAGTATCCTTTGCTGCGATATCTCTGAACCCGGTGTTGTACAGGAATTGCAGGACCTTCAACGAAGTCTTCGTCGGTGAAACGTCAAAGCGGGGGTGGGGGATGCCGTAGTAAATAATATCAACATTGTAGATGCTCCGTACGGTACACCAGAAAGAGGACGAAATCCTGACATTGTGTTTTTCGAGCACACGTATTGCACACGCGCAATGAAAATCAAGTACACCATTCGATCTGTCCAGGCATTCGCAATCGATACCGTATGATTTTATCAACTGGTGGAGCTGACGTCTTTGTTCGACTAGATGCGTGGCGAAGATTTCTGCTAGATCTGCTTTAGACCTTACAGATGCGTGTACTATGGCGACTTCTAGGCTCCCGATATCCTCAAGGTATTCTTCTCCAGCATTTTCGCGCACGCCAAGCCAGAATTGCACCATAGCTGGATTTTGTGAGTCCACGGCACGGAGCAGAAGCGGCGTGTGGCGCATTGTATCTTTTATGTAGGTCAATCCAGCATTGAGGAGAATTTCGCAACCGCGTACCCAGCCCATACGAGTGGTCAAAGCGAACAATTGAGCCGCTTCTTCTTTCGATAGAGTTTCTTCAGAATGGCGTCTCTTTACTGCCTCGTTGAACTCCACTTCTGATCTTAATAACGCTGCCACAACAGGCTTACTAAGGCCAGCAAAAGGGTCTGGAAAGGTTGTGAAAGGAAGCTCTAGCCACGAACCATAGTTCTTAGCATGCTTGGTTGTTGACGATATCTTTAGATCGTAACACAGAAGATCAGATCCAAACATCTTCCATATATCATGAGAGGGGTTCACGAAGCCCACGTCGCTCAGGAGGAGATCTATGCATGTCCTAATTGTATCTGATCAGTCGTATTCAGAAAATTCGAACGGTTCTCATTTACATTCCGTTATCGTCGATGTCCGATGCAGATGCGAAATCCATGTAGCTCAGAAGCTGCTTTAACAGTGATCGATGAACAACAAGATCGCTTGGATCCCCCCAACTTGATGCGTAATTAATACGTTCACAGAGGAACTTTTGGTTGTCAGTGAAATTCTACACAGCAATAAGGGGTATCCCAATACTGACGTGTAACAGTGTTTTCCCATCCTGCAAGCGGTCGTGAGGTGACGCTTGGCGTGTCTGAAATATCTTGTTCAGCTCCACAGGGTAGTCAAGGACTGGAAATTGATCAATGTTCCCCCGCATTATGGAATTGATCAGCTTGAATGCTGCTGAGGATTCTACAGTAACAATTCGACGGAACGAGAGGTTCGGCATGATCGAAAAAGTGCCACTTCCAATTGACAGTTGCAGGAATAAACGAAGCTTTAGGCCAAGGATCAAATAGCAAAGTATCATCCCAAATCCAATTGTCGTGTCATGGCCTCCAGTTGTCCAGAATTGGCAACTCGGATCATGGTAGTGCACTTCGTCCCGCGATACGACGAACGGTGACCGTGAGAATTGCTTCCTTTGTAGGCGCTTGCGGCATGTGCAGAAATTGAAAGTCTTAGAATCCTCAATCCGTTTGGAGTGCATTGTTCTCATCCTCCGCTCAAGAGTTCGAAGACTCGTGATCTCCTCTCCAAGGCTCACTGCAGACATTGGCAGTAGTGTATGGCAGAGCTCTTTATGTCGCGCCGTCGCGGGTGAATTCGGAAAGTGAACTTCGATTGGAGGATCCTGGGCAAACACATTACCATGCTGATCGATGAATGGCTGTATGAAACCTGACTGTCGTCGACTGGTGGCTAAATCTGCGCTCAAGCTCCAGCTCTGGTCAATGAGGTAACGGTCGGGCGATGTTTGGACGCGTCGCTGCTGATCGAGTATCATCTGGGTATTCAGCGACAGTTGACCAAGCTGTCCCTGTACAGTCGCGAAGTTCTGTTGCCACTGATCCCTGTTAGCTGTTAGCTGAGGTATCGCTGTCTACACACAGGTGAAGTCTTTACATCTCTAACGCCTGCAACGCGATCTGTAGGTTTTGTCGAACACTGCTCAAAGCATCTCTCCAGTACTTGATGTCGCTCTCTTTGAACGGATATGCTAGTCGCCTGATAACTTTCCGCGACTGCGTCGAAAACCTGCTAGAGTTCGTCGAAGGAGTATCATCCCCGACTTTCGTCCTGATCGACTCTATGGAAAGCGCGCATTGCTGTATGATAGCTTTGACTAACGCGATAGGTGTCGTAGGGTCCATCCTGCTAGTAGCGGTCTCGAGACACTCGAGGAGATCCACCAGCGTGTCCAATTCGCGGGTAATCTGTTCAGCCTTCTTTTTCGCATCTTTGACACCATTCGTATATTCGGAGAGTTTGTCGTACAACTGGAGGGAAAGCGATATGACACCAACGATGGTGCCGGCCACTTCAGCCATGGCAGGCGTACACAAAGATGGAAGGAGTGACGGAGCGAAAGGCTGGAAAGTGGGCAGACGATAAGACTTTGTAAGAAGGCGCAGCACAGCAGTGCGCCTGCCGCAGATGGCGTCCACTCATCGGAGTCGGCAATGCGGGGATCAGCCCAGCCTTGCGACGATGTCAACCTTGCAGACTCTCAGCCTGCCCTCAGCCTCGTGTTCGCTTGATGACTCTGAGGACGTTGGCGCAATTGATGCGCTTCGTTGAGTGTTAACAGCTTGATCTCTATGCAGAATGAAGTCACATACACCGGCGACAGCACCGCGTATATCGTTGAAAAATTTCATAACTACGAACTCTCAGCCCATCCCCAGTAGGCCCTTGAGTCTAGCTACCTTCCCCATAATAATACCTTTCAATCCCCCAGCACCCATAGTAGGCACTTCATCCACGCCCACAAAGCGCCTCACAAGTAGATTAAAGATGTTGCCAAAGCCCAACGCCATAACCGTACTAGTCAAGATAATAACATTATACGGCATACTGAAGTCCGGCGTCGGAAGCGGAAGAAGTAGCGAAGTAGTGCGAACGTAGATACCCTTGTTATCTCCTGACTGCGGCGACAGAATACGGATAACAGCAGGTGCGACGTCGAAGCCTCGATTCGCATCTGGCGGGTATTCCGTGTAGCGCAGAATCGCTTTCTCGAAGTCGTAAGTGAGTGTGAGGGTGGAGGCTGGTGGGATGACCATGCGTAGCTCGAGGTGGGTGCCGCGCTTGCGATCGACTGCTGGGCGGTAGTAGGTCTCTTTTATGGGGCTTTCGTCTGTGGTGTCGACGCGGGCCTGGAGCGTGTGGAGGTATGGCTTCATGAACCAGGGCAGAGACTCTAGGTATACTATCTCGACGGCGTTCGTGGTAGACGGGTTCTTGATGACGGACTGTGTACTACCGCGTTCCTGGCCGTGACCGTTGATGGATCTTGCCGCGAAGACTAGAGGATCGGGACGGACGAGACCGGTTTTCATTTTCTGCTCGGGTAGGACGAGGTCTAGATCTTCGCCCACGGGGAGCTTGTAGCATCGGAGGGTGTCTGATGCTAGTCTAGACTCTGTGAACTCTCCTGTTGTCTTGACCTCGAGTTCGCGCTCTGGCGGCAAGTTGATGCAAACGTTGTTAGCTTCTCCTTCAGCCTGCTCTGCCAGTGGACAGGCTCCCCTGAGCGGTCTTCCAAAGACCTCCTCCAGTGTCCAGGCGGGCTCGGTGCCCTTGTTCAGGGGATAGCAGGTATCGTGCCCGTTGTATGGCTTGGAGGTATCGCATTCCATCTGGTTGATTGGTAAAGGTCGCGGAATAGGGTTGTCTCTGGGTCGCTTGGCTCGCGCAATGTCTAAGACCATGTCTACGCTTTGCTCCATCTCTATTGAGCAGGTTGAGCTACCCTCTTCGCACGTCGGGCGTACATCGATGGCCATGGTTTGGAATGAAGCGTCGAATAACTTGTGTCCGTCCAGTAGGCTGGATACACCGGCTTTACCCTTACAGGGTAGTAGCTTGAGAAAAGGTGTAAGGTTCTCCGTGCAGACGACTTCGTGGGGTAGCGTGCCGTGGAGGAGGTGGAGGTTGGACGAGTTACGGTGCTGACCTTCGGGGTCGAATGACATGACGGGCCGTATGGTTTTGGTGGCATCGATGAAGTTGATCGAGGCGCAAAAGAGGCCTGACAAGGCGTTGGTAAGCTTCAGCCATCGTGCGAATGCTCTGTTGCAATTAGTAGAAGTTCCTCGCCCAATGCATAGAAGTCGTACTCTTCCTCAGTATCAGCCTCTACCCAGGCCCACAATTCAACACCGGTCCCTCCTTCTCTTGCGCCGTTCCAGGGCCGCTGTCCCCAATTCTCAGCATCCCATCTTCCAACACTGAACCTCAAATGTAGTTCTCTCGTGTGCGCATGTTGCAGAATCTGTCCAAAAGATCGCGGGAAGTATCGAAAGTTCTGCTGTTCGAATGCAGTTGCGCTTTCGTTGCTGCGGAAGTTGAAAGAGGCCAGAAGGGTGTTCTGGGGAAGGGGTCGCAGGAGGAGTCGCTCGCTGTAGTCGGCGCCCGCAGAGACGAATGCAATCAAGGCATTGAGCAACACAAAGTAAAAAGACGAGAGCATCGCAGCATCGTAGCGCTCTCTACGCGAAATGTGAGCGGGAAGACTGACGACAGGCCCTTGGTGTTGGGGTTGCGGCGGACATGTGGAGTGAAGGCGCCCCACCGGTGATTGGTCACCCGGCGTGGATACTGTACTTGGCACTGCCGCGGTCGTGATTTCTTTTGGCTGTCGCTCACCTTGCAGCTCTCCACATCACGACCCAACCGCGCATCCCTAACAAATACACATCATGGCCGCCGCAGAGACGCGCAGGCTGCTTGGTAGGTCCCCCCCAAAACACTATTACAAATACACCGCCATGCTAACGCGACACAGAGCAGCTTATGGGCGAACAGCTCATGAGCGGAACCGACCAGCGCGCGCCCCAGCTAAACATCAACGACACCAAGGTCTGTCGCTCCTACCTCGTGGGCAACTGCCCCCATGACCTCTTCACCAACACCAAGAACGAACTGGGTCCCTGTTCCAAGGTGCACAACGAGGCGCTCCGGACCGAGTACCAGGAGGCAGACGCGGAACAGAAGCGCAAATGGGGATTCGAGTTTGATTACATGCGCGACATGCAGCATCACATTGACAGCTGTAATCGCAAGATAGACACTGCCCAGCGCCGCCTAGAGAAGACGCCTGAAGAGATCAGGCAGACCAACGCTCTTGTAAGTATCCCGGCCAGGGGACCTGCACTATCTGCTCACGCGCGACAGCTCAAAGCGATCAACGAACTGACCAAATCGATCGACGCCGGTATGCTCGAGATCCAAATCATGGGTGAGGAAGGCATGGTCAACATGGCCGTCCAAGAGTTCACCAAGGTCCGTTACAAGAAAGCCGAGAAGGAGGAGCGAGAGAGGGAGCTGCGCGCTCTGTCAGACACCGGAGGCCCATCTGGCCACCAGAAGCTCCAAGTGTGCGACGTATGTGGTGCGTATCTCAGCCGTCTTGACAATGATCGGCGTCTAGCAGACCACTTTTACGGAAAGATGCATCTCGGCTACGCTCAAATGCGCAAGTCCTACGAAGCCCTGACCAAGGAGCTCAAGGACCGCCAGCCACCCCGCAATTCCTACGCTCCCTCCGGCGGCGACATGGACCGAGGCGGCGGTGGAGGTTGGGGAGGAGGTGGTGGTGGATACGGCGGCGGTGGCTTCCGTGGTGGACGAGGAGGTCGTCGCGGAGGCAGAAGAGGCGCTTGGTAAATATCCCCGGAATTTGGCGTTAAGGTGTGTCTATGCGATTCCCAAAAGGTTCGGCTTACAGCAGTATTGATGCGAAGACTACCGCGACACGGCGGTACTTGTACAACAAATGGCGACTATGGAGGCCCTTTCGGGCGTATGAGCTTGAGACAGTCCAATCAGAACATGTACGCTTTTCTCCAACATGCACCTGACATGCTTCTAACCAAAGTCAAGGAACCTGTGCGACCGCTGGCCAGGTAGAGAATATTTGGGTCTGCCCACCTGCTATACACCGTCTTAGGTGAGTTGCACTTTTTTGCGGTATGTTTCTGCAACGTGACTCGTATTTCTGGCTTCGGCCATGACACACTTGATATGAATTGCTTATTGACTCCGAAAATCCACACCGCAAGCCTATCTTTGCGACATATACCCATTACGAGGTGGGTCATAGAAGCATCGGATGCGCACCCTTTGCTGTATCATCAGCCGCAATTTTCGGCATAAGACGTGCGCAAATCTCGACGTATCTCTGAATGCTTGTTGCCATGACCTTACCCAGCTCGATCTCTTTGCATACATGCGGCTCGGTCAGCTCCTTATGCCTGAGTCTGTCAGATCAGGTATTGATTTTGTCCACGATGACTCAGCAGACCATTGGACAAGGCGCGCGATATGTATATATACACCAATGCATTCCTCTAGAATTCTATATACAGTCCAAGGGGGTATTCGCTAGCCACAATGGCTTAATGGGTATCGTTATTTGCGGGCATTCGCCCGACCTCCTGTGCTCTTCCTAGAGCATTCACTCGCGCCAGAAGAAAACGCAATCTACACATACCATCCTCCCCATCATCATCTAAGCAGTGCCGTAGTTCCTGAAGTTCTCGCAAGGCAGATAGTTGTTCTCGATGAACGCCGAGCTGAACCTGATCCCATACGCGCACTCGAACTCCTGTTCGCCCTCAAATGGGAAACCCTTGGTCTTGACGGTGCCCTTAACCGTCTCGATTTTGTTGGGACTTGTTGTCAGGCTGGTGTTGAAGAGACGGATCATGTTGTCGCATTGCTTGCCGTCGCCGAACATGACCTGGTTGGTGATGTTCATGAAGAAACCCAGCGGGTACTTTTCCTCCGACGTGAGTGACAGCCGCGTGCTAATGGATGCGGCGCCAGCCTCAGCGCTCGTCGCCTCGAACGACGTCGTTCCAGGCTCCTTAGCGTCGGGAACCGCACTGTATGCATCGCAAGCAGGCTCGAATAACGACGGGTAAGTCTTGATACCGTAGTCCGCAGCGCCTTTCAACGCAATGACGTTTTCAGCCGACATAACAAGCGATGGCGTCCACTTGAAGGACGTGGCATTATCGCCGAGGAGATCGAGGAATGGGAATTCGATGCCACCACGCTAGTTAAAGTTAGCACTACTATCGCGGATCACGATCTAAGGTTAGGCGCATTATCGTACCGAGAAGTCGGGTATTTGAAAGCCGAAAGCTTGTACGCCGTGGTCGTGGACTGCCTGGAGAAGGGCTGGGTACATTCCTTCCGGGAAGTCAGGGAGGAGATGGCGGTATGCGTGCTCCAAGATGCGGTATTGCGAAGGGATGAGACTGCGTGCGAGATCCAGGGAGATTGGTAAGACTGAGATTGTGCCGTTCAATGTTCCCGTCGCATTTGTTGGGTACTGTGACGCAATGGGGTTTGGCTGGTCAACCGTCTTGCAGACAGCCTGCTCGACAGCTTGTTGGATTTCATGGAGGACCGGAACCTGAGGACTCGCGTTCGTAGTACTCGCATAGCGAATAGCGAGCAGCGAAAGAAAGCTGAGAAGAAAGTACTGCCATTTTGAAATCGGAGCCGCCATTTTTGGTCGTTGTATCGAGAGGAAAGCAAGAACCGGATGGCACAGAAGCGCAAGGTCCAAACAAGTGCTTATCATGGTTGCTAAGATTGACCTCCGGGCCGACTTGACAAACACTAGACGGTCGAAAAGCTGATCATGTGAAAAGGTTGGTAGTACAGCAAAAGGCGCCAGCCCATTTGGCGTAATGAAGGACTTTTTTCAGCTACATAAAGGTAGTCTATACACACCGGCAACGCATGAATCCGCGCCACTAAAAGGGCGCCGCAAGGGTATCGAGTACTGGAACACAGATACCCGCAGCTGAGCGGGACGACTGACGCCGGGTGAATCAGGTACGTACCTGACCGCAACAGTGTCTGCGCGAAAGCAACGTGCTTTGGGCTGCTGGAACAGGCGAAGGCCAGAGTCAAAACGTGACTAGTGCCATGGAAGAGACAGTTTCCGAGACGCTGATCTGTCAGGTGGAGGCATGCTGCCGATGGGCTAGGGTAAGCCCTTGCGCATCGAAATGCTTAGGCCCGACTGCACTTGCTGGTTGAGTGCGCCCGCGCGTTGGGAGGGCGTGTATTGTTGCCGTTGGAATGGCGGGTGGTGCAGTGCGTGTGTCAAGGAGACAAGGTCGGAGTTTCATCGGCTTCGAGATGCTTGCGGGGCCGAGCGCGCACGTGCTTGCTAGGCTGGGTTCCGACTGGCGTGCGCAATGTATTCTCCGGTTCAAATCACTCTTTCCACCACGTTTCTGGCAATGTCTTCTTCCAAAGTTCTGAAGCACGCGTCGCATATATCGGTACGGCTTATTGCTCGCGCCGCAGATGAAGCAGTCGCGATGCCTTCTCGTTGACAGAGCAGTAACTAACGACATGCGAGAAGACTGTTCGCCAAACATCGTCCAGTCGCACGTTATCCGTACCCATCACCACTCTATACGGAACCTAAATCCATGGAACCCTTGCGCTGCATACGGTAGCGTTGTGGCGTTGCCTATGGCCCGTGAAACGGCGCGGACAAAGTTACAATCACAATCCTCCGGTGCTAAAGAATTCCCATATCCGGATCCACGGTCGGCCTCAATTACACTAAGGTAGCGTGCTACTCATTTCAAATTCAACCAGTTAGATCAAGACGACACACCTACGCAGCATTGAGATGTTGATTACTATAAGATTATACTAGCTATTGTCTCAAGAACCGATGCGTATACAGAATATCACACACTTCCGTGTCGGCCCCGCAAATACTGCTCTACCGTTGCATCGTCCATCTTGTCGATCTCAGCTGCCATCGACTTGTTTGCTGGCTGCTCCGAACTACTTCGGCTTGAAGGTTCAGAATCAGACGAGGAGGATGATGAGTTGCCGAAGCCCAAAGCCGCGTATACAGCCACCACTGAGTTTGCAAGGTTTGTCGCAGCACTCGTTGCTTGGCCGATGTAACTCTGATCCCCTTGTGTCTCGCCATCGACTTGAGCGGCTGTTCCAGACGCTGAACCTTCTTGACGGGTAGATTTTGCAGAAGATGGCGTACTATCGTTTTGTACGGGGCGAGGTGCAGGTTGCGAAGCCCGTCTTTCGGCCTCCTCAGCAGCGCAAACTTTCGTCAACTCCTCATGACCCGTCCGAGGAGGAGGTTGTGAAGCTCGTCTTTCAGCTTCTTCAGCAGCACGTACTCTCGTCAGCTCATCGTGGCCTGTCCGCTCTGGCTTTGGTTGATCGTTTACAGCTACAGCCGGCGGCGCACTCTCCCTCCTCTTCTCTTTCTCCAACGTGTCATCTAATTCCTTGCCAAACAGCAACTTGAAGAAGACCACAAGAAGTACCTCCTCCGTCTTTCGATTCCGAAGTACATATCTTAGATGATGCGTCTTCTCATCCACGTACTTGGCCACACTGATTGAAAACCCGGGTAACCTCAAGGAGAAATTCGCAAAGTCAAGATGTGGGTTGAAGAAATCGGCATGGTACATGCGGCCCTTCTCGAAATTAAAGGCTGAAAGGGCTTGTTCATCGAGGTAATACTTCCGCCGCTTCTTCCATTTCGAAGGCATGGACGACGCTTTGCGCACTTCTTTGCCGCTCCCCGATGCACCTTCTTCGATCACATCGTCACTTTCTTGACTGAGACTTGCAAGCTGATCCTGTGCTGATACATCGCTCGTCCGATCTCCAATGCGAAAGGCAAAGAAGCTCGATAGTGCGGGTCCGTAGAGATACGGCTCGTCAGAGTATGCATCTGAGTAAAGCCCGGGATCCAGCATACTCGTGGCGATCTTCATTGCGTACCTGAAACCTGGCGGAAGCTGGTGCTTGATCGAATGGCCGTAATCGAAGCCCATGACAAGATCGGAGCCGGACATGTCCTGCTTGGGAACGAATGAGTAGGCGATGGAGTATCTATCAGAGGTATGTTGTGGGTGATCAAAGTAAGATGATGAAGCTGGTGAACCGCGAGGTAGGCCATGGTAGTCTTTGATTCGGACGCGTATCCATGCTTCAACTAGGTCGCTCTCGACGGGTGTGGGTTCAGCGCCGTTGACTGATACTTGTTCGTGTTTTGAGGCATCGTAGGATGGTCCAGCCGTCACTAAAAATCATCAGCATTTCGTAAGATGATTCCAGTCCACTGCAACGTACCTTGCAGGAGGTACTTGTCGCGTGCCTCAGGATCGACCACGTTGCCCGACATGTTGGTAGTAAAGTCCGACGATGAACTAGTGTTATACTGGTCGATCGGGAAAGAAAGCCGGGCAAGTAGATCTGCCAGGTGGAGCGGCAGGTAAACTTATGTACCGTTGGATGCATCTTGTATTGAATGATCAGGCATCATCGTAGCTCGCACATCAATCAAGCTCGAATGCGCGGCCCAGCGTTGGTGACGACCAAAGGGTTCCACGAGTCCATGACGTTATGATCAGCCTTTGTCCAATCAGAAGATGTGGCTAAGCCGCTTGCGTGGCTGCTTCGTCCTTCGTTGTCAGCAAGCATCACGAACATCAAGAACGAAGGTCGATGCGATAGCAATCAGTCACGATTCATGCTACCTAGGTGCATACAGCTTCAGGCCTGTGTAAGGAGCAGCTTACTCTTCTCTGCCAAGCTTTGCGCCAGTTGTGTCATCGGGATGTTCTGCAGAACATCGAACACGGAGCACTCCACCAACATCTCACGCGCAACCCAATTTCTCACCTCAACAGCCACCAGACTATCAACACCATACGCGCTCAGCGGCCTGCCGGCATCGATATCGGCCTCGGGTATCATCATCAAACTCGCAAGACGCTGCACGATGGCGGCTGTGATGAGCTGTACGGCCTCTTCGTTTGCTGTGCCGCATCGCGTCAACTCCTCACGCAACGAGATGGTCTGTCCAGCCTTCGCCGAGGAGCCAGCTGCAACGTTGCGCAGTGCAGAAAATCGCGCGTCGGCCATCCAGTACCAGGCGTCGTCGTGCTCATTGAAGGGCAGACCGCACATGACTTGCCCTGGGTGCTGAGAGGGGCCCTCGATGGCTGTCGCTAGCAAACCATGAAGATCCGACGTGTGCATGACCTTGAGCCCCATGGCCTTGACGTGGTCGACATACTCGTCATGTTCAGCCACGAACCCTACCGACAGAAGATAACCGATGTCGATGGTCATCGCGGGTAGGCCCTGGCTGCGCCGGAATGCAGCAAATTCGTCTTGGAAGTTGTTGCCGCAGCCGTAATTGCCCTGTCCACGATGGCCCATCACACCGGCTAGCGAAGACAGCATAACGAAAAAGTCCATATCGCGTGGCAGTAGCTCGTGCAGGTTCCAGGTACCGTGGACTTTAGGACCGACCGTTGTACGTACATGGTCTGCCGTCATCTTGTCGAAGAGGCAGTCTTGTAGGACCATGGCCCCAGTCGCACAACCCTTGACAGGTGGTAAGCCCTTGGCCTTCAGGTCATCCAAGACTGCTTGCAGAGCGGCCTTGTTGCCAACGTCGCAATCGTGCGCCAACGGCGTAACGCTGTACGTCTTCTGCAGCTGCGCAGCGAATGCTTTGTTGTCTGTGCCGCTGGCTGCAGACCGAGAGAGGAACACCAGGTGCCTTGCGCCCTTCTCTGCCAACCAACGCGCAATCTCACGCGTGATACCACCAAGTCCGGCAATCACGTACGTCGCGTCAGACTGGACACGTACGCGTGGAATTCGAGGTACGGCACGGACCAAGTCGGCATCGTCAACGCGAACGACCACCTTGCCCATGTGCTTTCCTGCCTGCATATGGCGGAAGGCCTTCTCGACTTCGGCCATGGTAAAGATCTGGAGTGGCGCAATGGGCTTGATCGCCCCCTCATGGATCATCCTCGCCGTGTCATGCCATAGCGCTACTGCTCGCGGTGTCGGATTGTTCTCAAAGTCCAGCAGGTTGACACCGATATAGCTCTTGTTGTCCAACAAGGGCTTCATGTCAAGACCGGTGTTGGCGAAGAGATCCGCCTTTCCGATCTCCAAGAAACGACCGAATTTGGCCAAGCAGTCAGTCCATGATCGACGAAGAGCCTCGCCAGCCAGCGAGTTCAGTACCAGATCCACACCCTTGCCGCCCGTGGCACGGTGCACTCCCTTGACAAAGCTGGTGTCGCGACTGCTGAAGATGTGGTCTTCGGGGATTCCATATTGCTCTATGAGAAGCTGTTTCTTCGCGTCCGCGCCGACCGTAGCGAATATCTCGGCACCTTTGGCTTGCGCGATCATGATGGCGGCCTGTCCGACACCGCCAGCAGCGGCATGAATCAAGATCTTCTCGCCAGAGACAATGCCACCTGCAGTTACCAGCGCGTAGTAGGCTGTGAGGAAGATGAGTGGCATTGAGGCGGCTTCCTCGAAGCTCATGCCAGAGGGAACGGGTATGGCACCCTTGGCTGGGAAGCGGACGTAGGTGGCGAAGGTATCGCAAGATGCAGTCATGACCTTATCGCCAACCTGGATGTCTGTGACAGCCGCTCCGACACGAGTGACAATACCCGAGGCGTC